ATTAAAATTATATAATAAGAGATAGTGTAGCCAAATCATAGTGGTGGTACTGGAGGGAGAAACAAAGGGAAAAAGGACCACCATGAATTGTCATTCGTCGGATATGAAGACAGAAAAACCATAGGATATTTTGGCCCAGGCACTTTGATATTCTTTGTTCTCCCTTTCTTGGGTTATTGGCAAAGGAAACCACTTGATCTGTACCTTCTTGTTTCTTTCCAAATTCCAACCACCAATCATACACTATCTGCTACTTTTTCTTGAGATAGAATGGGGTTGTTACTTGTTAGGTTGGTAGAAAACAATTTAACCCATTATGTTTTTACATTTCCTGTTATCTTTGAAGATATCTTTCTGTTTAATATTATGGGCACAACTGGTTTTTTAAGTCAGAGACACGAGTAGAGAGAGAGAGACTATAGACGAGCCCCGTTACAAAACAAAGCGACCTTATCTCTTTATCATATGATCAAATAACATACAGCTATGTGAATATTATATCAATGGGCGGATATATAGACTATAGACACAGTGAGTTCAACAGAACTCAACCTCTAACTCAGATTATGTGTGTCTGTATGTTTGGAAAAGAATGAACACATATTAAAAGTTAAATTCACTAACTCTAAATTTTGAATTTGTCATATTACATGGTCGACAACGTACCAGACCCCACTTATGAGAATACATTAGGTCAGTGCACGTGACACTCTCCTTTACCCCCCTCAAGCTAGGGAAAATGAAGATATTCTTCATCCCTAGCTTGGACACCAAAAAGGAATGTTGAAGCCTACTCATTCCCTTGGTCAAGATATTCGCTTGTTGCTCAATAGAAGACAAATAGACAGTACGTATCAGGCCTTATTGAATCTTCTCGCGAATAAAGTGACAATCGATATCTATGTACTTGGTGCGCTCATGAAAAACAGGATTAGTGGTAATCTGGATGGCGTATTTGCTGTCACAATGCAGAGGAACAGGGAGGGACATCTCAATATCAAACTCCCCAAACAAACCAATGAGCCACACAAGTTCAACCACCGTAGAAGCTAAACTTCGATACTCAGCCTCCGCGGAATTCTTGAAATAGTGCTTTGCTTTTTTGACTTCTAGGAGATAAGAGAATCTCCAAACTTCACAACAAAACCAGTAATTAATCTCCTGGTATTGGGACAAGAGAGGTCAAATCAACATCACAATATGCAACCGAGGAGGCAGAGCTAGAGGCAGAAAGAAAGATCCCCAAGCGAAGCTCCTATTTGATATATAGGACTATCCTCAGAGCAGCAACCATGTGTGATTCCTTGGGCGCATGCATAAATTGGCTGAGGCACTGAACTGCAAAAGCAATGTCAAGTCTGGTGATAGTCAAGTATAATAACCTCCCAATCAACCTTTGGAAGGTACCCGGATCAGGCAAAACATGATCAATGGTGGGAGCAGGACCAACATGTTGATCAAACTCAGAAGTTGTCAGCTTTTGATTGGGTTCCATGGGCGCCCCAAAAGGCCTAGGACCAGAAATTCCCATATCTGATATCATACTATCTATGTGCTATTCCTTGCAAACTCAATGCCCAGAAAGTATCGAAGATCTCCCAGATCTTTGATTTTAAAATTGTGCTGAAGTATGTCTTTAGTTTCTTAGATAAGGCTCAAATAATCCCCAGTAATGAGAAGGTCATCCACATATACCAAAAACTGTAATGAGAAAATCAGTCTGTTAATAGCTGTTGATGTACTAGTTGTCGTACCGCTCGATTCATCTGCAATCGCAAATAAATTAGTGAAATTGCACCAAATCGTACAAAATTAGGGTTACAAGTCCTAAAGTCGAAGCTAATTCTCTCGATTTTCTTTAATTGAACGAAAAAAATTCCTAGAATTTCTCGGTTGATTGCTCTGATACCATGATAAAATTTATAATCTAGGCTGAAACAACCAATCCTACCAGATGAAGACGAAGCTACGTGAAGCGAAAGAGGAAGCAATGAAACAGTGGAAAATTCTAGAGAGGGAGAGAATTTTGTAATAGAATATTGTAACAGCTTATCTTTTACAAATGAGAAGTTACAGAATATATACACCGACTAACATATCCAACTAATTGCGAGAGTGTTAAGTAACTAAACAGGTAACCACTCACTACTACTAACTATAGTCTAACAACTAAGGTTAAATACAGAGTATGCATATCAGTATAAGTAAGCTAAGTGACTTCTGTGCACGTGACACTCTCCTTTGCGGTTGTATTACATGGTCGACTAATCCATTGAAGAATCTTTTTGAGTACGACTTGCACAAATGTATGGATGCATTGCAGCCATGCATGCATTAACACTCAAGACTTGTTATCATCCTCTTTATCAAAAGTCTAGAAAGTATATGGCATTACTATGGAACGAGTAATTTGAATCACGGGCATGAGGCTCACTAGCGCATGAGTGATGATTGCAAAGAAGCCCATGTATTACTGTTTCAACTACTTATAATAAGATCTTCATTTTTGTCAAAAGAAAGCTACTCAGTATCATTGAAACAATTGATTAACTATCACAAGCGCTTCATTTTATAGGCTCCGATCTATCTTCTTTTCTTCTTGACTAGGACTAAACAGACTAATGCATTATAGAATGTGTTGACCAATTTTTCACTATTTGGTCAAAACGTAATCTTTAAGTTAATAGGATCAGGCCAATGACTTCAGATTTCAGTATGCTTTCTTGATTCTCACGTTTCGACAGGTCTTTGGGTTCAATTTCTCTTGAATATTCTGAGGAGTCTACTGTTTTAGGGTGATTACCTAAGAATATTATAGATGTCCTTTCATATAGAAAGACATCTCGATTTTTCGCTTAAAATGATAAAATGCATTTAAAAGGTTCTATGTTACTACATTTGATTTAACAAACGGTAGATGTGATGTTTTGGTTCATGAACCGAAATTACTCAACGCCACGTTGTAGGAACTTTTAGCAATTAACATATTCTCAGTAAAAATGCCACAAGATAAATTTGACTTTGTGGCGAAACATTACCCTCAAAGAATACTGTTTTCCAAAATAAAAATATATGGGCAAGGGAGAAGAAGAGAATTTTATATTGATTTATGTTCCTTTTAGGGGAAGCAAAAATGGTATTAAGTCAGATAAATAACAGAGGCTGCTGAGTGAAAAAAGAAATAAAGCTGACTTATTTTTTCTTTTTTCCACCAAAGAATAAAGCTGACTAAGACAAAAACGAACAAAAACCAGTGTCGCATATTGCACGAGCAAAGATGTTTAAAGGACAAAATAAAATATATATTTTATTCACTTTTCTCTCTTATTTACCAGAAACTTTTAAAAAAAGATAAAGAAACGTTTTCATACGCGACAAGCACTTATGAGGGGTGTTTGGATGTGGTGCATGCTTATGGTGTGAATGTTCCTGAGGGTCCCACATTCATGAAAAAACTCATCCTATAATTCCCCCCACGGAATTTCACGCCTTGAGTTTTTGTTTTGTTTGGAGAGCCACGCCAAACATCCCCTTCCATCTCAATCAATTTTCTCCCCCTTTTTCCCAGCTTCATACCTATCACGTGCACTTCAATCCCCAACGTCAATAACCCTTTTGACGTTATATTCGAGGGTGAGAAAAAATAACTTTTGAAACTCCTATTTGTAACTTTTTACATTATGTTTGATTTATAAAAGAATGAAATATTTTTTATAATCATACAAAATTTATAGTATATTTAAGATCATAAATTTTAAAATTTTATTCATTTATTAAATTTTATGTCGTCAAGTTAAACTATGATAATTGAAACAAAGGACTATCTTTAGTAGGACTATCTTTGGTGGAGAATATTTTATTTTACTTGTATATAAAGGAGTTTATGTAAAAGAGTATAGATTATCTTTTAGATGAAGAATTTTTATTGATTTCTCGTTCATTATAGTATCCGATATTCGTATTGCACACAAATTAATATGCTTTTGCAAACTTAAACTACACTAAAGAGAGAAGCATTTTATTCTCAATATTCGGACTTGATATTTTTAATTAAGAATAAAAGAAATATATTCATTTCAGTAAAAAAGAAAAATAGGTGACGTCAATTTGAGCTTAATTAAAGTGATTACAAAGAAGCAGGTAGAAGTTGGCGCGTTAGTTGAGTTACTGGAGTAATGGATAGCGGTAAAAGCTTTGGCCGTCGAATGACGTAAAGCATGTGTTTACGTGGGAGAATAGCAATACCTTCTCATACTTTCTTTAAATAGTGTACTCCTCTACTTCTGACTTGAAAAGAAAAAGTATTGCACAACAGCTGCTCCTTAAATTCTTCGTAACGTATCTTCCATTATTATAAAATTAAGAGGTTTAAAATCAATTATTATACAATTTAAGATTTAAATAATTCAATACTAAGAAAACCAGACAAAAGAAAAAGGTTCAAATTTGTTTTTCTATAAACTGTAATATTCACCATTTTTTTCTCAATTTCACAAAACGGATTGAGAAGTTTAAAATAGCTTGCTTTAACAACTATTAAGTGTTCAAATAAAAGACAATCAAGCACTTGTATTTATTAGGTTATTCTATCTATTTTTTATGAATATATTATCCCCGTGGTATCATAATATGTGATACATACATATAATATGTATACTAACGACGAGAGTATATTTTAGGTCAATTTTTAAGGAGAACAAAGTTAAGCAAAAGTTAAAAAGTTTAGAAACAATGGAAAAATTAGTTTAGGGTCTAATCTTGGTCTTTTTTTTAAACTTTGTGTAGCTTCCACATTTTTCTTAGAATTGAATTAATTAATTCCAAAATATATTAATAATTTTAAACTGTTTAATTATTACTATATGGAAGATACGTTACGAATATTTGGGGCGGGGGGCGCCAAAGTAGTAATTAATCCGGCGTCAGTAATAATAATAATAAGTGGTGGTGTGGGCTCTGTTCCTGAGGCGAGTGTGGCTATAAAGAGATCTATTGTTCTTCGTTATCTCCCTTGCCCTGTTCACTTTCCACTACTATTTCTTCTCCACAAAAACAATAGAGAGAGAGAGAGAGAGACTCAAAACAGAAGCTTTTTAGTATAATATTGAGAGAGATGGGGAACTGCCAAGCCATTGATAATGCAACACTCCTTATACAACACCCCAGTGGTAGAGTTGATAAACTCTATTGGCCTGTCACTGCTAACGAAATTATGAAAATGAATCCAGGCCATTATGTTGCTCTTCTTCTTACTACTACCACCTTGTGTCCGCCCACTAACCCCGCCTCCGCCACCGCCACCGCCACCGCCACCACAAACAGAAATAACAGTGTAAGCAAAAATACTGGTAATATGCCAGTCCGTATAACGCGGATTAAGCTTCTCAAGCCAACGGATACACTTGTTTTGGGTCATGTTTACAGACTAATTACTACTCAAGGTTGGTTCTTTCTTTTCTTTTATGGTTAATTAAGTGCTGAAATACTTTTGATTACTGAGTTTGTAATATAATCTTTGTGTGTGGCTTATGCAGAGGTGATGAAAGGGTTATGGGCTAAGAAGTATGCCAAGAAGAAGCAGCAGCTAGACTCCGGGGAGGTACAAGAGAAGTCAACTCATGAGAATTTATCAACTTCACAGTCCAAGAATGGACAAAGAAGATCTGAAATGGACAACTCCAAACAGGTGATTTCCCTTTTTCAAACTTCATGCCTATCTATGAAGAACTTTTATAAAAAAAAAAAGAAGAAGAAGGAATGAAGAAGATAGGATAAAGATCATATTTTGTTTTTTTGGGGGTTTCTATTTGAGTTTCAAAATTACTTATTTCTCTTTCATCTTTTGAAAGGATAAAAATAGAAAGAAAAAAAATTAGCGTCATCAATTAATAGCAGTTTGGAATTCTGGTTATTATACTTACCAGTTTCGATAAAATATCACTACGAAATTTTCTTTCTTTAATTATATAATAATTGTAAAATTATTCAGGTGAAACAAGAAAAGCATCGGAGCTCAACAGGTGCAAAACCGAGAACATGGCATCCCAAACTCCACAGCATATCTGAGGCTACAAGCTGAGACTTTGATGCTTCTATTTGGATTTGTGTATGAGATATTCTGGACTAGGAAAAGGAGAAACCATATTTCCACCAGAAAATTAATAGAAAAGGAAAAAAATGGGTAGTTTTTCGTCATAAAATTAGAGCTAGCTAGCACGTCTAGCTATGCAGAATTAATCACATGTACAGCAGATATGATCAGAATGGAAACCCCCAAAAAAGAACTCACATGGCTTAACTTTGTAATCATTTGGATGCCTTCTTTAATTGAAAACATTGTACGCTTTGTTGGAATCACCAAATTTTGTTACTTGTTTGGACTCTAATAGAGACTTCGAACGTTGAATGAAATTATGATTTGCGTTTGAGTAACACTTGCACACAATTAGTGAAGTTCTTTTTGAAAGTTAATTTCAACCTATTCACCGTAGAGAATAGATGTTAAATGAAAATGACTACTTTAAATATTTTATTACTAATTTTGTAATATTATAATCTTTAGATCGTGAAATACAAAGAATTCGAACAGATGAATGTCAAGTTTTTATCTTTTATTAGTAAAAAGGTCAAATTTGTTCATGTACTATTTGAAATCACCCTTAAGGAAACTCTTTTGCCCTTGACCCTTCGTGGGGCTCCAATCTGTGAGTTAATTCTAACCATGGTAAAAAATTGAACAATTTTCTCAAATTTCAAGACTAATGAAGTTCGCCTATTTCTCATTGGAGTGTCCCTTAATGACGGAGAAAACTTGCTCTCTGATTTAGCAAACAAAATTTGGAACTGTCCCTTTTTAAAATTTTTCTCTATATTACTAGGAACATTATAGTAATAAAAATTTGTCGCTTCACCCCCTTTATGAGCTAAGCTTATATATAGAGCCCAGATAAAATAGAAAAAGGAAAAAGATATTCCAAAAATTTACCCAACAATCATAGAAATATAAATAGTTTCTCCTTGCAATGATCAAGGTGATATAGTTTTAGTAGTGATCATGAGTGCGTCAATGCTTTTAAATCCAACTTCAACTTTTATAACAAAAAGGGAGCACAATTGCAAAAGCCAGTGGAGAGGAAATGAGAGAGACGGAACAAAGAGAGCAAATGGAAAAAGTATAAGATATTTGAGAGTGAAAGTGTGAAAAAACACCTCAAATGACAAAAGGAAACAAACGAGACACCAAGCCAAAAAGTGTCATATGCATGCGTGCATTATTATTTGGTAGGATATGTTTAGCTTCATATATTCCTAATACCTTTTTGATTTGCCAAATAAAATTGGGTCCTCCTTAATGACCTTGCTAGCTAAATCTTTTTCCTAGTTTCTTATTTGGTGTCCATTGAAACCCGACTAATCTCGATTCATATTGCGTAAATTCATTAAAGAGGAAAACGTTCTCTACTAGATTTTTTAATTTTTAAAGCTCAAATTCGAGAACTTAATTAAAAATAGAGAAATCAAATACATTCTATCAAAAAACGTGGCGGTGGACCTAGGTAGTCAAACGTCAAATAAATTCATCATTCATCAGAAATAAACACATACCCCATGAAATGCTATCTAATCATTCGTAGTTCCTACCTAGATTAATCAAACTCTAGATGTGGCACCCTACTAAGAATGGCTCTTATTATATGCCATTCTTCTATAGCTTTTCATGGGATAAATCACGTAGTAATAGTTTGATAATGAAGCTACAACAATGATTTCTAAGTTGAATTGTCACACATTTAATTAGCGTCCCATTAATTTCTCTTTTAGATTTTCTCTTTTATATTCCTTTTTCTAATTCATTTTCTTTTCTGATGTGTGGTAACTACATATACGAATCAAATGCAAAAGAATTTATTTCATATTTACCGAAAGCATAAATATTTATACGATTAGCGCAATTTAACCCCGTTATTTGCTCTTTTTAAGGTTACTGATATTACTGATTATAAATAACTATTTCTAATAACTTTAAAGGTAACATGATAATTAACTTTTACATTGTTATTGTATAGAAGTTAAACTTGATGCAAAATAGTGGTTTCTTGAAAAAGTGAAGGTTTAATTAGGAACTTCATTTAATCTTCTTTGGAACAAAGATTGGGTTGCGCTGGCTAATGCTTTTTCGGTGAATCAACATAGGTTGATATGAGATTAGCAATGAAATTATCAACGTGCTACTCTTTATATGTTCCACACCTTTAGTTATTCATGGTTGTGACACTGACAATAAAGACAGGATGGTGATATGGGAAAATGGGAAAAGAAAGCCTATATTATGAAAGGATACAAAAATTTGGGATATTCCAAATATAAATCAATTTTCTAACGGTATAATTCATTGATTTTGGATGATCCAATTCCTCTTTACTTTAATGCTTTTAGAATGTTGCTCAAAGGAACGAAAGATTAGTTCCAAGAATTATCTGATTAAGCAAGATCTAATAAAAGAGTTTTGAATAATTCCTTCACGACTTATGATTTCTTTTCAAATAATGACCATCAGATGTTATGATACATTCACGTATTTGGCATATTAAACAAAACGATAAGAACAACCCCATCTTAATTCCCATGGTGAGGCCCATTTCCACAAACTTAATAATCACACTCTTAACAAATAATAGCATCAATAGTATTAAAAAACGAAGCTTTTACCTGAAAAATCCATAGGCAGAGCATCTCACTAAGATTATTTTAGGATCCACTAAGAAAAGAGTCCCTAATCCAATATTGTTGTGAAAATTAATGGATAATCTGCACACCTGGAATGAACTCTCAGGCCAATTCATTTTATTTATATTGAAGGAGCCACAATATACCCCACTTCGGCAAAACAAACTATTCTCAGATTCTAATTCAAGATGAGAAAGTAATCTGCTTAATCATTATAAGACTTGGCAGTCTATAATAAAAGCATTTTTTTGTGACAGGTATTTATAATGAATATGGGACAACAACTGATGAAGCAAAGTTTATAAGAATATTTGTAATAATAATGCTTCGTTCATTTTTGACTTAAAGCAATCATTTTAGTCATCTTTTGTTGCACTGGAATAAGCGTGCATCATTCCCCTTCTTCTAGTTTCCCTACCAAAGCCAATTAGATCCTTCTTTTCTTTTAGATTTTCTCAGCTAATAGCCTAACGTACTAGTTGGAGAAAACAAAAGATAACTTTCTCACAGCTCCCAACTTTCTAAATTTTTTCTGTTTTTTTATGGACATAAATTTGGTCGGAATTAGAAAAAAGAAGTTTTTGAAGTTGAAGTCGAAAAATGGTATTTTGAATGTGTAGAAACAAAGTTTGGGTGGATTTTCTTCAATTTAATTTTATACTTTTGAGTACTGTTTCTTTCGGTTCATTTTCTTATTATCTTGTTGTTCTGCTTGTTGCTAATGCTCTCTTTTCTATCTTTCCTTGAGGCGAGGGTCTATCGGAAACAGTCTCTCTACCATCAAAGTGGGGATAATATCTGGGTACACACTACCCTCCCCAAACCCACTCGTGAGATTATACTAGGTTTGTTGACTTTTTAGATCTAAGTAGTGAATCAAATCAAAGTACATATTGGTTCTTACATCAGTTTAGGTGGATTTTCTTACTTTTAGTTTGATTCGGTTTTTCTTCAACATTTTTACTTTCAGATGCTTTGATGGAGTAAAAAGGTAGAGGCGCTACTATCTGGAGAGAAATTTAGCCAAGTCTCCCACTGGTTTCTGACCACAGGAACTTAGACGAATCAAATTAAGATGATGGCATTAATGTAGCTGTGGTCCAAACAAAAAATTGTGGCAGATCATATCCATTGTACGACCTTCATTTGATTTGCAGCTTCCCAATTTAAAATATGAAGAAAACTCGTAACCAACCCCAACAACCGTTTTGCATCTCTTACGTCTTTAACTTTCTCCACCTAAAATTTCAGAGCCACCAGAGTATGATGGTAATGTTATTGTGAAGGTCCATTAATTTTGGTAAATCAGTGCAAGTACCTCACAAGTATATATCTACATTACTTGTCCAATATCCTCTCGAAATCAAGTTAAACTTGAGTTAGTGTCTTACCTCAAAGGGTATGCATTTGCTTAAAATGGGCCAAGTAATTTAGGAGCATAAGATCATGGAAGATGGATGCAGAAGATCTTTACAACCATATATCAAGAACTTATGCCACAACAAACTGATAAAAGTATAATACAAAAGATGAAACAAGTCTGCGAGTAAAATTGAGAGATAGAGAACATAGGAGAAATAAATTGCATACGTTGTTATTGAACTCGGAATTTAGCGAGAATTCCAGGAAAGAAGCCAAAGCAAATCTGAAGTGGAATGCAAAAAGTGACACACAAGACATATGTGATATAGCTCAATAAAGCAAAACAGAGATGCAGGAAGTTAGAGATAAAATTTGACGCACTCATATAGCAGTCGGAATATGAACCATTGTCACTCGTTAGGCTTCCCGATATAATTGATCTGAACGGACAATTCGAATACCAGAACATCCTTCCATCCCTCGTTCAACTGATCTACAGGGGCTCTCATACAATTGAAAAATACATCATGTCTAAAGAATTTTAACTTTCTGATGCACCTTATGCATGATGCCTCATAACAAAAGCGAACCCTTCCGTTTGGGTGGTAAAGTAGATCCAAAATCATTAAAAACGATAGGAACCTGACACTTGATATAAAGAAGATAGGAACCTCCAACTTCAGTTTTGTCCTATAAAGTTAAAATCTAAAATCAGAACAGTCTTACAACTTATGATCTGCTACTAACAGTTTGTTCAACATTTTTTTTTACAGATATACGTGTTCTTTCCCAGAACTCATTATTACGAGTAGTCATCGTAGCAAATTTCTTCTTCTGAAAGTGCAAAAATCAGAAGCAGTCTAAAAAAAGGATCTCTATGTCATAAACTTCAGAAATGCCCTTCAAATCTGATGGCAGTCACGATGAATCCTTAACTTCATAATGTGAATATTCAAGTCCCAGAAAACATATTCACGGAACCAAACGTGACGGCTAGCTTTTCACCAAGCCAAGCTGCTGCTTCCTCGTTCTCTCGCTCAATGAACGATATCATATGCGTGGGGTTAGCAACAATGCCTTCTAGGAGAGCACTATCCATAGTTCGTTTAATTTGTTCAGAACTTTTAAAATCTGTGGGTGTAACTTATCAGCAACACGAAACTCGTGAACAACACCATTCACCTCGATCCAACTACATCCAATGTCCAAATGCGTCTTTCTCTGACCCATTGCCTTCCTCACTTCAGAAACTTTGTTCCAGTTGCCTAGAGATGCATACAGATTAGAGAGCAGTACCTCACTTCCACTGGGTCCATCATAGTTAAGCTTCTTTATAAAATCTATAATGCTGTAACCGAGGAAAATGTTGCGATGAATTCTACAGGCACTGAGCAAAGCCCTCCATATAACTATATCAGGTTTTACCTGCATGCTCTTGACAACTTCAAGTGCCTTTTCCAAGTATCCAGCACGGCCAAGTAAATCAACATAACAGCCATAGTGTTCAATCTGAGGCTTAAGTCCCCATAAGGTCTCCATGTTATAGAAAATTGAAGAACCCTCTTCTACCAGACCTGAATGGCTACAGGCGTTAAGCACTCCTATAATAGTCACTTCATTTGGATTAACATTTTCATCCAACATCCTGTTAAACACAGTTAAGGAATCCTCACCAAGCCCGTGATATGATAACCCCGATATCATACTTGTGAAATTGTGTACATCAGGTCTTGGAATTCTATTGAAAATCAATCTTGCACAGTCTATTCTCCCACATTTTGCATACATGTCAATAAGAGCAGTAGAAATATTTGAACTATTGGGAACTTCATTCCTCATAATATAAGAATGAATCCAGTTTCCCTGTTCTAAGGCCCCAAGATTAGCACAAGCAGATAGAGCACAAACAAGAACAGCCTCATTAGGCCTTACCTTATCCTCAACGGCAAAAAGCATTTCATTCAAATATGTAAGTACCTCCATATACCTTCTGTATCCAGCAAACCCCGATATGATAACAGCCCAAGAGACATCATTTCGCAGTGGCATTTTATAAAAGATTTCACAAGCTTGATCCATCTCATCATTATTTGCATACCCACATACCAAACTAGTCCAAGAGAACACATCTCTTTCAGTCATTTTATCAAAAACTTTGTAAGCATCGTCTGTAATCTTGAAAACCGCATACATATTAATCAATGAATTACCCACATATAAGTTTGATTCCAGCCCATTTTTCACCACTAACCCGTGAACAATTTTTCCGTGTACAATTGATCGTTGGTGGGCACATGATGTAACAATGAAAGTGAAAGTATACTCATCTGGATGAACCCGAATCAGGGGATCTAAATTCAACAGTTGGCGAAAAAGACTGAAACTTTCTGAAGAATTTTGGAGTTTGCAATAGGTTCTGATAATCAGATTCCATATTAGAATGGGGGGTGAAGGCAGAGGATAGTGAAAGAACAAAAGTCTTGCTGAGGTGAACTCCTTAATGTGCAGGTAACAGTGAATGAGAGAATTAACAAAAGAAGCAGTTGATGAGAAGGATTGTGCGAGTATTTGAGCATGTATTTGCTTTAGTTGGGATTTAGGTGGGCGTTGGTGTAGCAATTTAGATAATTCTTTTCGAGTTATGTGAATATTCTGGCTGGGAATTCTGTTATCTGTTGATGAATAACAGATTCGACATTTGGGACCAGTTAAGTGTTTGGCTTTACGCCACGAAAGCAAGCGCATTTGAAAGATTCCCAAAGAAGAGAGAAACTGGAAATCAATTAGGCGCCTCAGCTCTAGGCCTACTAAATATTCAGTGCCTGCACTAAATTCTGTCTTTAGGGGAGGGGGAGGGGGAGGGGGGGAATAAGTGAAAACTCAATGATGTCAAATAAAACTAGTTTTTAGAAGTTTACTTGACAAATTCAGTTACAAAGACTTCAAGCTAACTGAGTGAACCTAACTCCCCGTGCGTAGTCACAGTTGATGTTGTACAAATTATAAGATGATTTTGTTATTATCTAGGAGAATAAGGATAGGCCAAGTGATCACATGGAATTTAGTAATTGAGTGTAAGTAGTCAAAAGAAATTGCAACAAAAGAAACTGAAAAATGAATTTACTTAGTTTATAAACCAAGGAAAGACTATTCCCTGATAGAAGCCACACCAATTTCCGGACAACCACAAGAGCAATCCCATTATACATACTTTAGGCAAAACTATGATGTTTAGCAAGTAAAATACACACCAAAAGAAAAAGAAAAAAGAACTGAAACTCTGTTGACTCTCTCATGAAAATATCACATATAGGCATTGATAATAACCCTCTTGTATGTATTAACCTCTTGACCTGATTAAGGCCAGAAAGCTGACTCTCGATGTTGTATTGCAAAATCACACAAACACGAAAACTTTCATGGCAGAACTCTATGCTTTTCCATTTGCAATCACCCCTTTAATCTTCTCTTGGTCTTCCATGTGGCTGAAGTTGCCTCTTTGCTTGAATAGCTGGGTGTGATGGTGCCTACAATACAACTTATGATCATGAGCCACATAATTTGATGGACTAATCACACAGCCCCCATGGCTACATTTGAAACATGCCCTGTGGTACGACGTGCCATCAACAGCCACCTGTGAAATAGCAATGAGTATAATAAGTATATATGTTGATCTAAGAGGAAAAAGGGAGCTTTCAACATTTCATAAATTCTTATTTTCTGGTGAATACAGAACAAATGATTAGATTGCCTACATTAGGGCACTCAGGCTTGGATTTCAAATGAGAGATCAATGTCTATAGTGTTATTATTCATCGTTTTCCACTAATGCTAACTACTAAACAGAAAAGAAAATGTCAGTATGTACCTTTTCGAGGGGGTAAACGGTTTTCTTGCAGGATACACATTTATCTTGAGTTCCACCAAACAAAGCTGAAACTTTGCTGTTTGATTGACCCTGGATAGATCAGTAACACAACACAAGTGAGGTCAGCGGTTAAAGAGAAGAGAATGGTGTATGCTTAACGGATCATAAGAGATCTTGACATTAGAATCAATCATGGAATACCTGATCAGCAGATCTTTCCCTGGCTGTTCTTGGAGCTCCTACTGCAAACAATACAACGAGCAAGTGAAAACAAGCTTCAAAGGAATAAGTGATGCAAAAAATACTTATAAGAAATATCGACTTGGTAGCTCTAGTTACCTTCAAAACTCTTGTTCAGGCTTCCAGTCATTTTGAACAGTTGATCAAAGTGAGGTCTACAGTATAAAACTCCTTCATAGGAGTTGTAGTTACTTAGCTGCACAAGTTTAAACAGGACAAGGAAATTAAGATCAAGAAATCTATTTATTGATTGATGAAAAAGACACGGAAAGTGATGCAAAAGATACATGAGAGAATAGTACTAAATCAAGTAGCGCAAACCAAAGAGAGATTTAACAAAGTTGTCAGAAACAAAGACATGCTTTGTCCTCTAAATTGGAGGAAGAGCTGCAATTTCAACACAAACCAAGAGTTGTACTGTCATAGCTAGCAAGTTAGTTGTTAAGTTGAGGATCTGGCTTCAAGACCAGAATGCAAACAGGCCACTTAACTCCTCAACCAAATAGTGAAGGAAAAAGTATGTCATTTAGCATAGAGACCAAAGAAATGCCAGCACTTGCGCAATAGAACAACTAATCAGAATTTACAAATTCATGGTTTATCCTTTGCACTATCTTTTGAAAAAGCTAATAAATCTAGAATTTACAGTTCAACTAAATAGGAGAATCAGTGACAGTATAAGAGGTTAATGAGGATTAAGAGAAGACAATATTTAAGTTAGCAATACAATCAGTTTTTATGTAACAAATGATCCTGCCCAGCTTCAAATGCAAAAATTGGATTTTTACATATTTCACCTAAGAAAGAAGTAGTACCAAATTCTCAACCTTTTAATAACATTAGGAGAAAAAAAATACACTGCTTTCAGGATAATAAATGTCGACCATAAATGATCTCAAGCAATCAGAAAGCCACTATATATAGGCCATAATAAAAGAGGAGGATATACTATATAATTGTCAGAAAATGAAGTAATCACCTTAAGAGTACCCTTGCAATGATGACATCTGAAACAAGCCTTGTGATAGACTTTGCTGTCAGCCTTAAGTTGATCAACCAAGTAGACAGTTTTCTCACAGGCCTTACACTTCTGTGTTGTCCCTCCAAATGTTGCCATTCCCTTTTTCTCTGCAGATAGATAGATCTCTACTCAAAATTCAATCCCTCAAATTCTGATCCAGTAAGCCAAAAAAAAGAGACCCTTTTCTCCTTTTTCCAGGAATAGTCTCTCACTTTGAAAATTTGAGTAAATTACAGCTGAGAAGAAGTTCGGGCGTTACCGACGTGTTGAATACTTATTAGTAGTAGTAGTAGGGGAGGACAGGCCTTTTCAATTGTGAATAGATTATTGTCTGTCCACATTGTGGGTGTGGGGCATTACGGCCAATTAAAATTTGAATTTTTGTTCGCTAATTCCATTGACTCCTGCAAAGTTATAGTGGACGGACAATAATATCCATTACTGAAACACGCGCCGATTGTTAAGAGAATTATGGCTTCCGCCAACTATAATTTTGGCTTTTGTGCGTTGTATGTACCGCAGCATTTAATAATCGTTAGTGACTTAAGTAGCCTATTTTTTCTAGGAATTAGTAACACATAGACGTGATATTGACTCTATTGTTGAGATGATTGTTACCAATTGTATCGTATTGTATTGTTATTTTAAATATGCTATTTGTTTTGATTGTTATTAAAATTTTATTATATCGTATTGTTAAATAAGATTAATGTATCTCTATAACAGACCGGAACAGTACCTGTAATGACAACATCAGATGCAACTGCCTCCGTCCTAGCAGGAAGGACATAATATCTAGCCTGGCCTCCCCCTCTAGGGCGACCTCTACCTGTCCGACCTTCACCTCTAGCTGGTTGTGCGGGTGGGGTGGTAGCTAATGCTGTAACCATAGCCTGAGGACCTGGTGGAGCACGCGGTGCCTAAGAAATCTGTGGAGGCGTGACTGATGTGACTGGCTCGGGTCTGATCGATTGGACTGACCACCGAAAACACCTCGTACATAAGGTACACTGAACAGTGGCGGTGCATAATAGGGATCTTGGGGCCTGGTAGTGGCCGGAGCACCGCTGGCAGCTAGAAGTGCTGAATGAACAAGGCTGCCCATATAACCCCTGCCATGACGAGCTGCCGCTGGGGCACGAGCACCACTGTAAGTGCCAGACTCTCAAGACCTCTTGGCCTCTCTCTCCTCTCTATCCCGAGTCAGCATACCCTCCAACCTCCTAGCAATGCCTACTACCTGCTGGTACGCAATATCCATCTCCAACTCTCGGGCCATACTCAATCTGATACTGGGGTTGGGCCCCTCAATAAACCGACGAACCCGCTCTCGAATAGTAGCAACCAAGGCTGGTGCATGACTAGCAAATCACTTAATCGGATATACTCTGACACGATCATAGAACCCTGGTGCAACTGCTCAAACTATGCGCGTCAAGCATCTCTGAGACTCTGGGGAACATACTCCCTCAAGAACATATCTGAGAACTGAGTCCAAGTGAGTGAAGCTGCCTCGGCCGGACTATCCAACTCGTATGCGCACCACCACTGATAGGCCGCTCATCTAAGTTGGAACGTAGTGAAAGAAACCCCACTGGTCTCCGCAATACCCACAATACGGAGGATACAATGGCACTCCTCAAGAAAACCCTAGGCATCATCTGACGCCAAGCCACTAAAAGTAGGAGGGTGGTACTTTTGGTACCTCTCGAGCCTGAGCTGCTCCGCCTCAGAAGTTGTTGCCCTAAGCTCAAGCTGAACTGGAGCTACCGGCTATATCGATATGATTTATGGAACCTGGTCGACCTGAACCCGCTGCTCTGGGGTACTGGCGACAGGAGCCTGTGCTCCTCCCCCGACCTGAGATGTGGTAGGAGCAAGAGGTATCAATCCTGCCTGAACCTAGGTGATGAACATGCTCAGAAACTGGGCTAGAGTCTCATGGAGAGCTGGTGTAGTAACAGGCGTCTCAAGTGCCTGTCCTCCAACTGGAGCTACTGGTGGCTCCTCTGTAGCAGCTCGTGTGGGTGCTTTGGTTGCACCATGTGGACGTTCTCGACCTCTACCCCGGGCCCGGCCTCTCGCGACTCTAGCAGGGGGCACGTGTGTCTGATCATCCGATCCAGTTGTACGTGTCCTCACCATCTGTGAGAAAATAGAAAGACATAAGTTTAGAGTCCGAAGTCAAAATCTCTCACAATAAGGAATCAAAGAAAGTAAAACTTTTCCTAACTGTTCCATAGCTTCCCTAAGATAAGTACAGACGTCTCTGTACCGATCCGCGAGACTCTACTAAACTTGTTTGTGATTCGTAACACCTATGAACCTAGAGCTCTGATACCAACTTGTCACGAGCCCGATTCACCCTTCATAGGATGTCGTGATGGCACCTAGTCTCTAAGACTAGGTAAGCCTAACAAATTTGCAGAATAACATAATATAAATCTGAAGCCGAATTCTCAACACATGAAGTAAATATAAAACTACAAATCAATAATTACAACTCCCAAAATCCGGTAGAAATAAGTCACAAGCTTCTAAGAGAAAATACGGAATGTTTCTATACATCAAAGTCTAAAGGAAATAAGAGAAGCAACATAATAAGGATAGAGA